TTTGGGACCATTTTGGGAACATTTTGGGCCTTTTTGGGCCATTTTGGGGTCATTTGGGACCATTTTGGGAACATTTTGGGCCTTTTTGGGCCATTTTGGGGTCATTTGGGACCATTTTGGGAACATTTTGGGCCTTTTTGGGCCATTTTGGGGTCATTTGGGACCATTTTGGGAACATTTTGGGCCTTTTTGGGCCATTTTGGGGTCATTTGGGACCATTTTGGGAACATTTTGGGCCTTTTTGGGCCATTTTGGGGTCATTTGGGACCATTTTGGGAACATTTTGGAACATTTTAGAACATTTTGGGGCCATTTGGGACAGTTTTTGTGGCATTTTGGGGCAATTTTGGGTCATTTTGGGGCCAATTGGGACCATTTTGGGGTCATTTTGGGTCATTTTGGGCCATTTTGGGGCCATTTGGGACAGTTTTTGTGGCATTTTGGGGCAATTTTGGGTCATTTTGGGGCCAATTGGGACCATTTTGGGGTCATTTTGGGTCATTTTGGGCCATTTTGGGGCCATTTGGGACCATTTTGGGGCCATTTTGGGTCATTTTGGGCCATTTTGGGGCCATTTGGGACAGTTTTTGTGGCATTTTGGGGCAATTTTGGGTCATTTAGGGCCATTTTGGGCCATTTTGGGACATTTTAGGGGTGTGGGCAGTGCTGGGACTGGGATTTATGGAATCCAGAAATTCGGGAACTCAGGAATTCCAGGATCCAGGAAAATCTGGGATTTACAGCCGAGCTAAAAATCCAAGAGATTTTTTTTTTAAGGGATAAAAAACCGAGGAATTTTTACAAATCATCCTCAACTCACCCCAAAAAAAATCCCAAAAAAAAAAATAAAATTCCCGCCTTAATCCACCAAAAAAAAAAAACCCCAAAAATTCCCAAAATTCCCCTCCCCCCGCCCCTCCCCCTTTTTTTCCCGCCCCTCCCCGCGGCCGCAGGAGGGGGGGGAGGGGCGGGGGCTCCTCCTCCTCTTCCTCCTCTTCCTCCTCTTCCTCCTCCTCCTCCTTTTCCTTCTTTTTTTTAATTTTTTTTTCCCTTTTTCCCCTCTTTTTTCCCCTCTTTTCCTGCTCCTCCCGGGATCCCTCCCGGCCATGGAAGGCTCGGGACCCCCGGGAGGGGCGCGGGGGTCGCCGCCCCCCTGAAGCCTCGGCGGGAAAAGGTGAGTTTGGAATATCGGGAACAAAATAAAAAAAATCCGGGATATTAAAAAAAAAAAAAATCGGGATAATTCACCTTAAAAAAACAGCGAGAAACGGGAAAAAAATCGGGATAAAACGGGAAAAAAATCGGGATAAAATCCGCATTTCCCCTCCCCCCCCCGCGCGCTTTTCCAACCGCGACCCCTCCCAAATTTATTTATTTATTTTTTTTAACCTTTCCATGGAAAAATCCCGAGGTTTTTCCCAAATATTTGGGATTTTTGGGGGGGTTTTTAGAGGATTCCGAGCATCCCATAAATCCGCCGTGTCATCCAGGTGCGGGGTTGTTTTTTTTTTTATTATTTTTCCAGGTGTGGCTTTTTCCAGGTGTTCCCGGTTTTCCTTTTCCCTCTCTCCTTCAAAATCCGCGGGATTTTCCCAAATTTTCCTTAATTTTCCTTAAAACCACCTCGGGGTTTTTATTTTTATTTTTTTTTTCCTCAGATTTATTTTTTTTTTTCTGGTTTTTTTTTTTTTTTTCTGGGATTTTTTTCCCGGTTTTTTTTCCAGGTTTTTCCCGGTTTTCCTGTACCTGCAATTCCCGATTTTTTTCGCTCCGAGCAGGGCGCGTCCTTCCCGCGTTGCGGCGGCGCCTTTGGAATTCTCATCCCTAAAAAAAAAACCCCTCAAATCCCCCCAAAATTCCCATTTTTCCCCCCCCCCCCCCCCCCCCGCGGGGAAACATCCGAAATTCCCACCGGGAATTTTCCCGAGGGGGAAAAACCGGGATGAAAACGCGGATTTTCCCATAAAAAAATATTTTTCACTCTAAAACCCCCCTCCCAAAATTCCAATATTTTCATTTTTTTTGGGAATTCTGCAGCCCCGAGGGGAAATTCCTTGCCGGTTTGAGCTTGGAAAAATCGCTTTTTTTTTCCCCGTGGGAAAATCCCAATTTTTTTATGGAATAAAGGGGGTTTTGGAGGAGTTTTGACCTTTAAAGTGAAGCATTCCAGGGATTCTCCATCTTTTTTCCTGGAAAATCGGGATTTGCCGGCACCAGGATGAGATTCCCCCCCCTCACCCCCCTTTTCCTTATAGAATTTAAGCCGGAATTCCACATTTTTTTTTAATCCTGGGAATGATTTTCCAAGTGGGGAAAAAAAAAAATCCATTTTTGGGTTTTTTTTTAACTCCCGAATTCCCAAATTCCAAAGGAATTTTTTTTTTTGGGGGGGGGAGATTTGGGAATTTTCACCTGGAACTCGGAAAAATAGGGAAAAAAAAAAAAAAATCACTTTTTTTTTCCCAAATCCATGGATTCCCTCCTGCTTTGGATTTGGGCCTGGAATTTCTGGGATTTCTGGAATTTCGGGATCCCGAGGGGGAATTCCATTCCCTGGGATGGAAAAAAAATGGGATTTGGGGATGGGAAAGGAAGGAATTTTACTGCTTTGAACCGGGAAAATCCCAAATTCCCGAGGTTTTGGGGAAATCTCTTGGAATAAGGGGGGGTGGGTGGGGAATTTTTCCCTCGAACTTTGGGATTTGGGCCTTGGCACTTCCCTCTTTTCCCACTTTTCCCTCAGAAATCCTGGAATTCTGAGCTCGGCCTACTCCAAATCCTCCTTTTTTCGCTCAAATCCTGGGAATTTTGGGCCCTTTTCCCTCAGAAATCTTGGAATTTTGGGCCTGGCCTACTCCAAATCCTCCTTTTCCCTCAGAAATTGTGGAATTTTGTGCTCAGCACTTCCCACTTTCCCACTTTTCCCTCAGAAATCCTGGAATTCTGAGCTCGGCCTACTCCAAATCCTCCTTTTTTTGCTCAAATCCTGGGAATTTTGGGCCCTTTTCCCTCAGAAATCTTGGAATTTTGGGGCCTGGACCTGCCCAAATCCCACTTTTCCCTCCAAAACCTTGGAATTTTATGCTCAGCACTTCCCTCTTTTCCCACTTTTCCCTCAGAAATCTTGGAATTCTGAGCTCGGCCTACTCCAAATCCTCCTTTTTTTGCTCAAATCCTGGGAATTTTGGGCCCTTTTCCCTCAGAAATCCTGGAATTTTGGGCCTGGCCTACCCAAATCCTCCTTTTCCCTCAGAAATTGTGGAATTTTGTGCTCAGCACTTCCCACTTTCCCACTTTTTCCCTCAGAAATCCTGGAATTCTGAGCTCGGCCTACTCCAAATCCTCCTTTTTTTGCTCAAATCCTGGGAATTTTGGGCCCTTTTCCCTCAGAAATCTTGGAATTTTGGGGCCTGGACCTGCCCAAATCCCACTTTTCCCTCCAAAACCTTGGAATTTTATGCTCAGCACTTCCCTCTTTTCCCACTTTTCCCCCTCAGATCCCTGGGAAATTTGTACCAGGCCCAAATTCCATTTTCCTCCCCTCAAATCCCGGGAATTTTGGGCCCTTTTCCCTCCAAAACCTTGGAATTTTGTGCTCAGCACTTCCCTCTTTTCCCACTTTTCCCCCTCAGATCCCTGGGAAATTTGTACCAGGCCCAAATTCCATTTTCCTCCCCTCAAATCCCGGGAATTTTGGGCCTGGTATATTCCAAATCCCACTTTTCCCTCAGAAATCTTGGAATTTTGACCTTGGCCTACCCCAATTCCCACTCTTCCCCCTCAGATTCCGGGAATTCTGAGCTCGGCCTACTCCAAATCCTCCTTTTCTCTATAAAATCTTGGAATTCTGGGGCCTGGACTTGCCCAGTTCCCACTTTTCCCTCCAAAACCTTGGAATTTTACCCTCAGCACTTCCCTCTTTTCCCACTTTTCCCTCAGAAATCTGGAATTTTGGGCCTGGCCTACTCCAAATCCTCCTTTTCTCTATAAAATCTTGGAATTTTGGGGCTTGGACCTGCCCAAATCCCACTTTTCCCTCCAAAACCTTGGAATTTTACCCTCAGCACTTCCCTCTTTTCCCACTTTTCCCTCAGAAATCTTGGAATTTTGAGTTCGGCCTACTCCAAATCCCACTTTTCCCTCCAAAACCTTGGAATTTTGTGCTCAGCACTTCCCTCTTTTCCCTCTTTTCCCTCAGAAATGTTGGAATTTTGGGCCTGGCCCTGCCCAATTCCCAACTTTTTTCCTTGGAATTCTCAGGGAAAAGCGGGACAAAGCTCCTTTTCCTCAGCCCGGAGGATTTTTTGGGACACGGAAAATTCCCAGCGATTGAATCCGGGGGATTTTTTGGGATAAAAAAGGGAAATTCCCGGGGATTTCCCAGAGTTTTTGGGATTTTTTTTAATTCCCGAGGGATGAATGGGATTAATGAGTTTGTATTAATTAATTAATTGAGTCCAGTTAAGGGGATTTATTTAATTATTGGGTTAATTTTGGTTATTTCGGGGTTATTTGAATTCAAAATCCTTTTTATTCCTTTTCTTTTAATTCTGATTAATTGGAATTTGAATTAATTTTTGTTTATTGTCATTTTTAATCCATTTTTTAAAATTCCTCATAAAGATCCTTTTTAAAGAATGATATTCATGATAAATTAATAAATTAATATTAATAAAAAAAATTTTACAATGGAATTCATTTGTATTTTATTCTTATTTAAATTAAGATAATAAATATATTTATTTGATAAATATGTTCATTAATTAAAGAATTGATTTAAATTCATTTTTATTTTGATCATTTTCTATTTAAAATTATTTTATTTTCAATTTTTTATTTCTATTTCTTCTTAATATTCGGTTTTTATTCATTTTATTTTATTTTAATCTTATTTCTTTTAATTTATTTTTATTCCCATTTCTTAATTTTATTACTTAATTCCCATTCTTACTATTTTCATTTCATTATTTTTATTAATTAATTTTATTAATTTTATTAATTTTATTACTTAATTAATAATTAATTTTATTTTCTTTTTATGACCGTTTCTACTCTTATTTTTCATTTCTTTTTAATTCCTCCCAACTTTGAACCGCCATCAATTTTTAATTAATTTTAATTAATTTCATTTTAATGAACTCTTTTCATTCCATTCTTTCGAACCGAAAATTCTTCATTATCCCCGTTATTAATGATTAATATTTGGATTTATTCTTTCAATTAAAACTCAAAATTTGATTTAATTTTATTTAAATATATTCAAATTTTATTCAATTTTTTTCCCCACCCAATCCATGGGAAAACCTGGAATAATAAAACACCCAAATTCCCTTTTTTTAGGGATTTTTAACTTGAATTTCCCTGGAATTCGGGGGGGATTTTCCCTCCCTGGCTGGAATTTCAGGAATAATTTGGATTTGGAACGAATCCCGAGGGTTTTCCCGCTTTTTTTCCCGGCTTTTTATGGAGATTTCTTGGCCGTGGCCCAGATTTTGATGAAAATTCGGGATGTCGGGAACCAGCTTGGAAAAATTCCAGGGGTAATGGAGAGGAAATAATGGGAATTACTGCAGATTTCAGGAATTTTACATGGAATTCTCCCAGCTTTTCCCAAATTACTCCGCATTTTCCCGAATTCCTCCCATTTTTTCCCAAATTAATCCGTATTTCCATGGATTTCTCCCCATTTTTCCCTCTGAAATTCGGGATTTTCCTCACAACTGGGAATTTTTTCGACATCTTAGAATTAAAACCCGACCTTAAACTTGGTTTTCTCCCCAATTCCACGGATTTATTCCCATTTTTCCCAAATTCCGCCGTATTTGCATGGATTTATCCCATTTTTTCTTCAGAATTCCACCACATTCCCATGGATTTTTCCCATTTTTCCTTCTCAAATTTGGGATTTCTCTCTCAGCTGAATCTCCTGAACCTCCTGGAATTAAAACTTGGATTTTAACCCCAAAACTCAACGGATTCACCCAAATTCCTCCGTTTTTTCCCTAAATTCCACCACATTTCCATGGATTTCTCCCATTTTTCTCTCCCAGATTCCCGTTTTTCCTTCTCAAGTTTGGGATTTCTCTCTCTCAGCCGAATCTCTGGAACCTTCTAGAATTAAAACTTGGTTTTAACCCCAAAACTCAATGGATTCACCAAAATTCCGCCCTTTTTTTTGCTAATTCTGCCGTTTTCTTCCATTTTCCACCATTTTCTTCTCTAATTCCACCATTTTCCCCTCCCAGATTCTCGTTTTTCCTTCTCAAATTTGGGATTTCTCTCTCAACTGAATCTCCTCAACCTTCTGGAATTAAAACTTTTAACCCCAAAACTCAATGGATTCACCAAAATTCCGCCCTTTTTTTTGCTAATTCCACCATTTTCTTCCATTTTCCACCATTTTCTTCTCTAATTCCGCCATTTTCTTCCATTTTCCGCCATTTTCTTCACTAATTCCGCCATTTTCTTCCATTTTCCGCCATTTTCTTCGCGAATTCCGCCATTTTCTTCCATTTTCCGCCATTTTCTCCGCTAATTCCGCCACTTTCCCCTCCCAGATTCCCGTTTTTCCCGACGATGGAAACCCTCCTGCTTCCTCTCCTCTTCTTCTTCTTCACCACGACCGCCTCCAACTCCCCTCCGTGCCCCAAGCGCTGCTCCTGCCAGAACCTCTCCCCTTCCTTCACCATCCTCTGCACCAAAACCGGGCTCCTTTTCGTGCCGTCCGGCATCGACCGGCGCACGGCCGAGCTCCGCCTGATGGACAACTTCATCACCGTCCTCCGCAAGCGGGATTTCGCCAACATGACCCAGCTGATCCACCTGACGCTGTCGCGCAACACCATCAGCCAGATCATGCCTTACGCCTTCGCCGACCTCAGGGGTCTCCACGCCCTCCACCTCGACAGCAACCGCCTGACGTCCATTAACGAGGATCACTTCAAGGGGTTAATTAATTTACGCCATTTAATCCTCAGCAACAACCAGCTGAGCTTCATCTCGCCCAAATCCTTGGACGATTTCTTGGAGACCATCGAGGATTTGGATTTGTCCTACAACAATTTGGTGGACGTCCCGTGGGCGACGGTGGCCAAGCTGTCCAACGTCAACACGGTGAGTTTGGATCACAACCTCATCGAGTTCGTGCCCGAGGGGATCTTTTCCAACCTCCACAAGTTGGCCAGGTTGGACATGACCTCCAACAAGTTGAAGAAGATCCCGCCGGATCCGTTGTTCTCCCGCATTCCCGTTTACGCCAAATCCAAAGGTTCTCCGCTGAGCTCCCTGGTGTTGAGTTTCGGTGGGAATCCTCTCCACTGTAACTGCGAGCTGGTTTGGCTGCGACGCCTGACGCGCGAGGACGACCTGGAAACCTGCGCCTCGCCGCCGGAATTGATGGGAAAATACTTCTGGAGCATCCGGGAGGAGGAATTCGTGTGCGAACCTCCCATGATCACCCACAGGACGCCCAAACTCGCCACGGCCGTGGGTCAGAGCGCGTCCCTGAAGTGCAAAGCCGTGGGAGATCCCGATCCCTACGTGCGCTGGATCGCTCCCGACGGGAAGCTGGTGGCCAACACCTCCAGGACGGTTTCCTACCAAAACGGGACCTTGGATATCCTGGAAGCGGCGCCGGGCGACCAGGGAACCTTCACCTGCATCGCGTCCAACGCCGCCGGCGAGTCGACGGCGCCGGTGGAGTTCCGGGTGACGGCGGAAGGGAACGGGACGGAATGCGAGGATGAGGAGGGGGGGAAAAAAGCGGGAACGGGCGGGCCGGAGCCGTCGGATATCCTGATTTCCGCCAAATCCAGCTTTTCCAACGATTCCAAGCTGGAGAAGGGGGAGAGAGGGGGGGTGGTGGTGGCCGAGGTGACGGCGACGTCGGCGTTGGTGCGGTGGCCGCCGCAGGAGGAGCTGGAAGGGTTGAGGATGTACCAGATCCAGTACAACAGCTCGGGAGATGAGATCCTGGTTTATCGGTGATTGATTCCCGGGAAAAATCAAAAAAAAAAAATTAAAAAAAAAAAAAAAAAAAAATTGGGAGTTTGGGATGGGCGGGGGGGGTGTGGGAAAGGGATGGGAAATATGGAAAAGGGGGTGGGAAAAGTTGGAAAATGTGGGAAAAGGGGGTGGAAAATGTGGGGAAAAGGGGATGGAAAATGTGGGAAAAAGGGGCTGGAAAATGTGGAAAAGGGGTGGGAAATGTGGGAAAAAGGGGCTGGAAAATGTGGAAAAGGGGTGGAAAATGTGGGAAAAAGGGATGGAAAAGGGGTGGAAAATGTGGAAAAGGGGTGGAAAAGGGGCTGGAAAATGTGGGAAAAAGGGGATGGAAAATGTGGAAAAGGGGTGGAAAATGTGGAAAAGGGGTGGAAAATGTGGGAAAAAGGGATGGAAAAGGGGTGGAAAATGTGGAAAAGGGGTGGAAAAGGGGCTGGAAAATGTGGGAAAAAGGGGATGGAAAATGTGGAAAAGGGGCTGGAAAAGGGGATGGAAAATGTGGAAAAAGGGGATGGAAAATGTGGAAAAGGGGTGGAAAATGTGGGAAAAAGGGGTGGAAAAGGGGAGGGGAAGTGTGGAAAAGGGGATGAAGAACATGGAAAAGGGGCTGGAAAACTGGGAAAACTGGGCTGGAGAAAGGACTGAAAAATGGGGGGGAAAAGGGTGAATAAAGGTGGAAAAAAATGGGAAAAAAAGCCCAAAAAAAGGGGGAAAAAACCCCAGAAAATCTGGGAAAAAAGGCAGAAGAAAATGGGAAAGGGGCTGGAAAACTGGGCTGGAGAAAGGACTGAAAAATAGGGAAAAAAGGGGCGAAAAAACATGTGAAAAAATGGGAAAAAATGGGAAAAAACGATGAAAAAAAATGGGAAAAATGCCAAAAAAAGGGGAAAAAAAAGTCAGAAAATCTGGGAAAAAAGGCAGAAGAAAATGGGAAAGGGGCTGGAAAACTGGGAAAACTGGGCTGGAGAAAGGACTGAAAAATGGGGAAAAAAGGGGCGAAAAAACATGTGAAAAAATGGGGAAAAATGGGAAAAAGGACGAAAAAAATGGGAAAAATGCCAAAAAAGGGGAAAAATACCCCAGAAAATCTGGGAAAAAAGGCAGAAGAAAATGGGAAAGGGGCTGGAAAACTGGGAAAACTGGGCTGGAGAAAGGACTGAAAAATAGGGAAAAAAGGGGCGAAAAAACATGGAAAAAACATGGAAAAAATGGGAAAAAAGGATGAAAAAAAATGGGAAAAATGCCAAAAAAAGGGGAAAAAAAGTCAGAAAATCTGGGAAAAAAGGCGGAAGAAAATGGGAAAGGGGCTGGAAAACTGGGCTGGAGAAAGGACTGAAAAATGGGGAAAAAAGGGGCGAAAAAACCTGGAAAAAATGGGAAAAAAGGGGTGAAAAAACATGGGAAAAAACATGGAAAAAAATGGGAAAAAGGGGTGAAAAATGGGAAAAAAGGACGAAAGAAAATGGGAAAAATGCCAAAAAAGGGGAAAAAAACCCCAGAAAATCTGGGAAAAAAGGCAGAAGAAAATGGGAAAGGGGCTGGAAAACTGGGCTGGAGAAAGGACTGAAAAATAGGGAAAAAAGGGGCGAAAAAACATGGAAAAAAATGGGAAAAAATGGGAAAAAACGATGAAAAAAAATGGGAAAAATGCCAAAAAAGGGGAAAAAAACCCCAGAAAATCTGGGAAAAAAGGCAGAAGAAAATGGGAAAGGGGCTGGAAAACTGGGAAAACTGGGCTGGAGAAAGGACTGAAAAATAGGGAAAAAAGGGGCGAAAAAACATGGAAAAAATGGGAAAAAATGGGAGAAAAGGATGAAAAAAAATGGGAAAAATGCCAAAAAAGGGGGAAAAAAACCCCAGAAAATCTGGGAAAAAAGGCAGAAGAAAATGGGAAAGGGGCTGGAAAACTGGGAAAACTGGGCTGGAGAAAGGACTGAAAAACAGGGAAAAAAGGGGCGAAAAAACATGGAAAAAATGGGAAAAAATGGGAGAAAAGGACGAAAAAAAATGGGAAAAATGCCAAAAAAGGGGAAAAATACCCCAGAAAATCTGGGAAAAAAGGCAGAAGAAAATGGGAAAGGGGCTGGAAAACTGGGAAAACTGGGCTGGAGAAAGGACTGAAAAATAGGGAAAAAAGGGGCGAAAAAACATGGAAAAAAATGGGAAAAAAGGGGGGAAAAAACATGGGAAAAAATGGGAAAAAAATGGGAAAAAAGGACGAAAGAAATGGGAAAAATGCCAAAAAAAGGGGAAAAAAACCCCAGAAAATCTGGGAAAAATGGCAGAAGAAAATGGGAAAGGGGCTGGAAAACTGGGAAAACTGGGCTGGAGAAAGGACTGAAAAATAGGGAAAAAAGGGGCGAAAAAACATGGAAAAAATGGGAAAAAATGGGAGAAAGGACGAAAAAAATGGGAAAAATTCCAAAAAAGGGGAAAAATACCCCAGAAAATCTGGGAAAAAAGGCCGAATTCCCTGGAAAACGCCGATTCCCGTTGCCATTTCAGGATGATCCCGGCCCCCAGCGCCTCCTTCTCGCTGTCGGACCTCGCCCCGGGCCGGGATTACGAGCTCTGCGTCCTGGCCGTGTTCTCGGACTCGCGGAGTTCCCTGCCGGCCACGCGGCCCTTGGGATGCTCCCGCTTTTCCACGCGGCCGGAGTTGCGGCCCTGCCGCTCGCTGCAGGCGCAGTTCCTGGGCGGGACCATGATCATCGTCATCGGCGGCATCATCGTGGCCTCGGTGCTGGTCTTCATCTTCATCCTCCTCATGAAGTACAAGATCCACAACAGCCACCCCAAATCCAAGGGCAGATCCAACGTCTGCTCCCAGACCAACGGATCCCAGAGCGGATCCATGGGCAGGTCCAGCTCCAAGCTGGGGGGGAGCTGGCAGCAGCTGGAATGTTCCGGAAGCGGCGGGAAGGGGAGGGGAGGGGAGTGGGAAGGGGAGAAGGGGGAAGGGGCGGAGGTGGGGTCGTGATGGAAGGGGTGGGGGGGTCTGGGGCTGGGAGATCCGGGGTGGATCCAGGAGATCTGGGATTGATCCAGGAGATCTGGGATGGACCCAGGAGATCTGGGATTGATCCAGGAGATCTGGGATGGATCCAGGAGATCTGGGAATGCTCCAGGAGATCTGGGATGGAGATC